GGGGGTGGGGAAGGGGGCGGGGGAGGGGGAAGACGAGCGGGACGATGTCCGGGCTGTGGTCTGCTCTGTCCTGTTCTATGCTGACCACAGCAGACGCCAGCTTTGCAGGTTGAATGGGGTCTTGTCCCGGCCCAATCAAGTGTTAGGGAGAAGCGGGACAGAACCGAACAAGTATGTCCGGGTGTCCAGGCCTAAAGAAGCTGTGGCCCACCTGGGTAAACTCTCTTCCCTCAAAGCCCTGACTTACTGTGAGTGGAGGGGACCAGGCGAAGACAGTGGATGGGCTCAGGCCATTTCCTTGGAGGACAGTCATCCTGGTGGGAAGGGCACAAACCCAGTCTGGGGTAGGAACATAATCCCAGAAGAGCTGCCTTTCACCTTCCACCCTCCAGCAAGATGGGAAGATCTGGAGTTCTATATTCAGTTATGGAACCACTTACTTCCTTTTCCTTCCCTTCCTTGTCCTTTTCCTCCTCTGGGAAGAAAAGATCTTCCAGTTCCCCAGACCTGAGGGGGCTGGGCTCGCCTCCATCCAGTGCTGGCAGGGAGTGGGGCACTGCCACTGTGGCCTGCTGAGCCAGACTCTCCACCTGCAATGCCCAGCAGGCCAAAGATGGGCAGGTAGGGCCTCAGCCACGATCCCTCAGTGCTAAGGGAACCCTAAAATAACCCAGGGCCACATGACCCCAGAAGACGTTACAGAACTCCTGCAAGGTCGCTAGTCAGGTCACTGTGTGTGTGTGTGTGTGAGCTAGCATGTGCAAGCGCATGCGTACACAGCTCCCCCTCACCAGCTGGTCCCGGGCTTCACACAGACCCTCCACAGCCTGAGCCACAATGCTCTCTGCCAAGGTCCCTGTGACTGACAGTCGCATGTCCCTGAAGGCAGAAGAGGGAGTGTTTAGCCTCTGAAGAGGCAGGAAGCCCAACCCTGCCCCGCCCCGTCCAGGTTACCTGAGTCTAGTGAAGGCATCTAGCAGGAGCTGCTCAGGGAGCAGCTCTGGGAGGGTCCTTGAGTCTGCCAGGACCCCCTCTAGCTGCTCCTTCCAGCGGGGTCCCTGCAGCATCCTAGGGCAGAGGCTCCTTGTTGTGTCCAGTGTAGCCTGAGTGAAGTCCTGGCAAAGGTCAGAGCATGGTGAGGGTGTGGCTACGGCCCAGGCCACATGGCTCGAGGCTGCAGCCCCCACAGAACACTGATTTAGAGGATAACACAGGCAAGCCTCTGGGATGTGGCTCAAGGCTGCACATGGAAGTGAGGCTGGGGCATCTCACCTGGATGTCCTGGCGGCAGACCTCACCCACCTGTCCCAGGAGGCCCTCCAGCTTCTGCCGCAGCTGCCAGTGATGACTTGGGGAGCTACCGGCCTCATATAGAATGGGGAGAATCTGAGGGCCAAGGACAAAAAGGAGTTGCAAGTGGACACCTGCCCAGGTTGGAAAGGGTCATTGTGGTGGGAGGGGGAGTGCTCACGCTGAGAGAGAAGTTGGCATTTTGGATGGCATCCTCGGCCTGGTGCACGGCAGCTTCGCCCTGGGGCCCAGCCCCACAACCGAGCAGCTCCACATGTTCCTGCACCGACTGACACAGCTCGTTCACCTCCTGGAGGACACGAGGGGTCAGTCCCACCTAGTGCCTTCCCAGTCTCCCAGACCCAAACTGTTTCCCTACTAGGGTCTGCGACAGGGGAGGTAGGGTCCTGAGGCGGGCACTGTTGGGCTGCCACTTAGGAATACTGTCTGTTTGGGGGAGGGCAATGTATCTACTTTTGATTCACTTTAGAAACTTAATATACACATCCGAAGTGCCTAGAATAGCAAGGAAAGGAGCTGTTAACCCTGTCTGTTTTGGAAGTTCAGTCTGAGGGCCAATGGATGACATAGCAGTTAAGTTGCTGGACTCTAAGGCGGTCAACCACAGTTCAAGTCCTGAACCCAGGGGCTTGAAACTCACACCAAGCATGTGTGCATGCATGCCCGGGATCCCAGGAGGAAAATGGAGGAGAAAGGACTGTAGCGGGGCTATCCCGCCTGGGATAGCCCTTTCACTGTGTCTGTCTCTCTCGGGCAAGCACATGCACCATAAGGCAAAAAACTCTAAAAAATAAAGAAGTTCAGTCTGCTCAGCATCCACATAGAAGATAAACTATGTGTATGTGTGAAACGGGAGTGAGGACCCATGGTAGGGCACCAGGGGGAAGCAAGACCATGGGGTAGGGGTGAGGAGCAGCGTGTTTAAGAGTTGGTCCAGAGGCAAGACCGAGGAGGACCTCAAAGACTCCAGTGTGGCCAAGAAAGACCTGGAATGATGCCTAAACCTCTGTCCACACACTTGGCAGTGTGAGCACCACTGAGACTGGCCTCCAAGGTAGAGCACAGGGTGTGTGGGAGATGATGAGATCACCTGATCTCACCAAATAGAGCCCCTGCAAGGTGTCTGGATCAAGGTGTCCGGGCTTTGGGCTTAGGAGAGAAATGGGATTTGGGAACAGGGAATTGGAGACATCTCAGAAAGGCAGGGTAGCGGAGGGAGATGAGATGAAGCCAGAGGAGGGGCTGCTGGGTTTGGCCACACAGAGGTGAGTGGGGAAGGGAGAGGAGTCCTGTGAATGGGAAGTCAGAGACAGAGCTATGATCAGAGGAACACTGAAGAAGGATTTTAAAACACCTTCTGTTTTAACGGGAGAGCCTTTGTACATGCCAAAAGCAGCCCGGGGTGTAATTTGGGGAGCTATTTCAAGAGTGGTTGGCTGTCTCCAGACCAAGGAGGAGGCCTTGTCTGGGATAGCAGGTCTCAGGTACCCTAGGCCTTGGAAAGTCTGACCCTGACACGTAGAGGTTCCCAAATGCCACAGGTCCCCCCACCCACTGCCTCCCCAGGGCACTGAAGTTAGGGGAGAGAAACTGACCTGCTCAGAGGGTTCTGAGATCAGACTTGTTGTCTGAAGGCAACAAGCACGGTCTGAAGTGGCAGGGTCTGTGCGGTTGTTCCTCAAGAGGCAGGCTTGGATCTGGGCACAAGGGATATCACAAAGTGGCAGAGGACAAAGCCACAGTGCTCAGGAGGGCAGGAGAGGAGATGGGACCCCACCTGATGGACTGCACGAGCCGTCAGTTCCGGGCGGCTGCGTTGCGCCTGGGCCACGTCGTTCAATGGCAGAGGCATGGCCTTCAGGCTGTGGTTCTGCTCCAGAGCCTGCGCTACATCCAGCAGGCCCAGAGCAGATGTGTGGTTCCGATGGTCCCTGTGACGGAGAGTCGCATGTCCCTGAAGGCAGAAGAGGGAGTGTTTAGCCTCTGAAGAGGCAGGGAGTCCAACCCTGCCCCGCCCCGTCCAGGTTACCTGAGTCTAGTGAAGGCATCTAGCAGGAGCTGCTCAGGGAGCAGCTCTGGGAGGGTCCTTGAGTCTGCCAGGACCCCCTCTAGCTGCTCCTTCCACCGGGGTACCTGACGCA